GAAAGTGTGATCTGTGTAGTTTATGAAGTTATAGCGAGATAACAGACAGTTGACTCAATCACAATGACACCTTGCATATCGTAGAGAAGTTTATTCCAATACTGTGAAAATCATGACAACAGTGAACATCCAGATAGATCAAAAGATCATAATATGAACCAGTCCAGCAATACACATGTGGATGCATTAGAAGCTAGCTAGAGCACCCAGAAACGGTGCTGGGGGAGGACACAGATGGCAGCTTTAGATAAGTTAAAGATTGCTTCAGAAGATAATTTAAGAAAAAACTGAATGGGGGAGGGCCTCAGGGGGTTTAGGTTTAATGGTAGTCATGGGTCCTAATCCAGATCACCGAGCAGGAAACATATGCAATAGGGTGAATAGTGGCCTCCGGTTGCTTTTGGCAAAACGTTCACAGTTTAGGTCCACTTTAAAGCAAACTAGTACATAGAAGGACTGCAAACTGGCAAATTTAAGGATAATCTATATGACTTCCTGCTGCAAGTAAGCACTGAGTATTCAGTTTAATTTCTTTAGTGAATTTATTTGTGTTAAAATGCAATTTGCTCAGCGTTTATTGTTTGTTATTAAAAACAAAAGTATTTGACTTCTTTTACCTTGCAGTGGTAATCTTAACACAAGTTAAATAATAATCTAATTCAGTGGTAATACAGTACACAACACATTTTTGTGTAATCTCCTTGTCCCTGGCATTTACTGTATGTCCTACCTACACTTTAGTGGTAATACACCACTATTATTAATGGTTGGGGCGAGTGAAAATAATGCACGCTGACTGCTTTGATATTGCTAGCTTCTTTTGAGTACTGTCCCAATGAAATGTCTGAGCCCCATTTGAAAGTGTTCCGTGGTCAGGAATTGGAACCAGGCATTGTTAATATTGACTGTTCAATTTAGTACTGAAAGTGAAAAGAAGAGATTGAAATTCTTAGTGATCAACAAATCTGTCTCATGCACAGCAATATTTCAAACTTTTAAGAAATCTCATCTTAAATACGCCATTAAATAGATAAATATTGTTGATTACAATTCCTAGCAAACTGCTTGTGCATTATATTCAAGAAGTATTAAATGTTCCATCCAGAATTTCCTATGCTCATCAGTGCCATCTATGGGCGCTAGTGCCATGTGAACGGCACTTTTATAAATGAAACCCAAAATGGCAACAGATTGACTTAATGGTTTTTACTGGTTTGGGTCAGTTTTCTTTATTTTTTGAAGCGTAAATAAGTTGTTAAACTGATATTTAGTATCTGTTTTTCACTATATGTATACAATTTTTGTTTTAGAAATAAACATTTCATACATGACAAAAGAATCCCAGATCACTATGGGTTCCCTAATATCTGGTGTCTCCAGTGGTCGTATTAACTCTAGAAAGCTAATAACTGAAGCAATGACTGAATGAATACGTTGGATGATATCACAATGTTACTACAAATAGGTCATCCCAATGCACATAATGTTACCAATGCTACTATGGTATTGAAAAATGGTGATGCCAAAGGATCTATTTTTAGAAAAGCAATATATTGTTTTCAGTACACAAAACAATTTTTTATATGATAAAAAATAATGTTTTCAGAGATGTCTTTATTTATATAACAACCTGTTTTTGAGTTTCAGCATAAGTTAAAGAATCACTTTTCTATATACAGAATGTGTCTACATAGATACATGGTTTTAAATAGGTGTCAACATTATATACATACATTACACAGAAATACATACATCATAATGATATTTATATTATGGTCTGTGGTGTGACAGGACATTACACTGTTATTCTTACACCTTGATAAATCACTGTACAACGAGCAAGAAATAAAATGCAGCCGGCTATAAATCACCCAGTTTTTCGCTATTGTGCTTTTATAAAAGTGTCTCCTGTAAAGAGAAGATACACAAATTTTAAAACATATACTGCAATAAATCACTGCTGCTCAGGACTCTGTAAGCCTATGGACTTTGTTAAAGAGCCAATAAGCCTAAAATATAAATGGCACAATAATAACGGCATAATAAAATTATTGGGTATAAATATTAACAGCCTTGGTGTTTGCAATAAATATGTAGAAGAATCAGATTAGAAATTACTAGTAAATAATTGCTGATGTTTCCTGCACTTTTCTCAATGTCATCCTGCTCTAGCCCAGTTTAACTTATTGTAGACCTTAAAGGAGAACTATGGGGTTAGGGCTTTTCCCCATAGTTCTCCTCAGGGTAACGGGAGGACACAAACTAGCGTCCTTCCGTCACCCGAAGCTCAGTATACCGCAAGCTGCAGCTCACGGTATACTGAGACGCCGCAGCTATCAATTATGTCTAGATCCACCCAGCTGCGTGAGCGACAGCTGGCTCTGCCTATCTGCCTGGCCCCGCCACCTCGCCCGTCGTCAGCGCCGGAGGATCGGACAGGGAGGGGGGAATCCAGTCACTCCCCTGTCACGGCTCTCTGCAGTGACAGGATCACTTCCCGATCTACTGAGCCGACCTGTGACAGTTTCATTGTCACAGGTCGGCTAGAACTATGAGGATGAGTGAAAATCACTCACCTCATAGTTCTCCTTTAACTCAAAAAGTAAAGATATGCTACATTATAGGGAATACCTATGAATTCAAATTACACCTAATCAGTACCTTTAAGATGTACATTTGTTTGGAATTTCTCATGAAAAGTAGCAGTGCACTTCCTGGGATGCTAGTGTCAAGAGATTTGGAGTGATATTTAGAGATGTCACTACTGTGCTGCTTACTGTTCTCCTTGCTGGAGGCTCCAACATGTGAAAGCAACACCCTGTTTCTACCAAGATGGCTGACTCCACACCAAGACACAGTTCAAAACAAGGCATGGTAAGTCAGTAATGGGGAAATATAAGATGCAGGTAGACCACAGGTGACAATCCCTTTGACCTCTGCTATCTTTTTTTGGGCACAGCTTTTAGAGTTCAGGACCTCTTTAAAGTGAAGTAGACAGATTGGTTATAAAGGGGGAAAGAATGGCCAAAAATAAAAATGATGCCACTTGAGGACAGTTTTTTCTCTAGCTATCTTTCATTGGAAATAGGAGATGATCGTTAGACAATATTCTACGCCAATGGAAGTAATGGTCCTGATTGCTGTACCAGACTTAATTGTAGAGTTGCTTAGTGATGATAGAGAGCAAGATGGGACTTCCTCATTATTATTCTCAGGGCAGCAGTAATAGTATGTGCTCTTCAGCCATTTTTGCACTATCATGTAACCGCAACAGGTGGTTGACCACATGGTCAGAATCCTGGGATCCTAGTTTATTTATACAGTTAAAAATCCGTCAGTCCCTTATTCTTAGGACTTAATGCCATTTTACAGTGCTAAAAGGAAGAGTTCTGTTTACAAATGTACTTGCTAATTAGTGGTTTCAAAAAGCTACTTATAACTGGATGTGCATGTTTAAAACAATTTCTACTTAATGTACATAAATCAGAATGTGGTCACACATGGGAATATTTAAGTACAGACATGATCTTTATGTGTCTGTGTTCTTGTTCTTGGAGACAAAGATCTTAATAATTGTCATTTCAAATTAGAGATTTTCCATCAGGATCTAATGACTTTCAAGCTTATATTGTTCGTTTTCAGAAATAAAGGGAATTGACAACCCTTATGTACAGTAACTGTCTGGACTTTGATTTTCAGGGCTGCCTGCCTGGCTGTAGGCAATTTGCACAAAACACAGGACACTCTTTACAACTATAGTATAACCTTACCATCTTGTCTTGAATTGTATTGTGATTGTAATGTCTTCCTTATATTGTAAAGCGCTGCACAAACTGTTGCTATATAAATCCTGTATAATAATAATAACTACAGTAATAGTGAGTCATCTGGACCATTACAATCTATGTAAACATGGTTAATTGTATATATAACAAAAGTAAGTGTAAAGTGGGAACTTGGATTAGGGTTAGTGGATTCCGCTTGTATGTAGCAAGTAACACAAAGTTTCCAGACTTTTCCTACAGAGCTTCCTACTATAATAATATGATCACTTAGGTGTTTTAACACTATATGGTGCAAGAGCATATAACATTAACCGTATTCTTCCTTATACCCAACATGTAGTTAGGTGATCCCTTAAAGTAGTTTACAGTATATAAAGGTTACGTCTACTTAAAATCTGTTAGTTTGCTTTTGATGGGTGAATCCCCCACAAAGCTGTTTAAGTCATATAGAACCATGGCTATCCTGTAATTTCTAACACCATCTCGGAATAGAAAACTATGGGAATGCCATTTTATTGAGGTTTTAATGCCTTGAAACACACCCCAGTTGTTTGAATGAGCCCTATGAAACCATGTTTGAATCCCGGATGCAATAATATGAGATTCTAATTTGGTAATTCTATTACTAATTTAGTAAGTTGTTCATTGCAAATTAATTTGTTTTATACAGTG